GATTTTAGTTTCTATACTATAAAAATTCTTAGTTTTTGTATCTGAAAATCTCTAAATTGTCGAATGACCAAACTCCCATATTTCAATTCCCAAATTGAAAAGTTAACAAATCCACAAACTGTAAAGTTATAACCTTCCCAAATTTCCAAATTTCCAGCTCCCATATTCTCAAATGTCCAAATCGCAATTATTTAATTTTTCAAAAACCAAATCTGCAAATTTCCCAATACCTCAATCTCCGAATATCAATACTCCCAAAATTCTTCAACCAACTCTAAACTCCCCATACCAAAATTCCCACATTCCACTCTACAGAGCGAATTTCCGCCAACAACTTTATCCAACATTGTACACAAAAATCAATAATCTCGTAGCAACAGAAAATCAAAAAATCGTTCAGTCACATAGATCGGTAATGTATTCGTAGAAACAGGTTGTTCCGCTAGCGGTGCTCAGAATCTCGTACTGTAATACAAATACCGAGTTCACGCGTAGCGGGTGCAAATGAAAAAAATCAGCTGGAAAGAAACGTTGGCTAATGAATTAGCGCTGTCGGTATCGCAACGGTCGTGCTTACGTGCGACAAATTATGCTGATCATATCGTTAAATTCTAAGGAAACGGTTAAATACTTATTAGAGGCACATATGCGGGAGTAGTAGCAATATATCACCTACTGAACCGTGACGACATTTATGTTTTCATACATCGAACGATCAAAGTCATCATTTTTATGGTTTTTACTATGGCATTCTTGATAGTAATTGGGTCAACTAGCAGCGAAACAAAGTGTCGCTGGTTTGTCACACATTTGTCGATTTCGTGTCACGCGGGGCTGCCAACAATTACGCTAATTATACGGTTAACGATCTCTTGACGAGGGTTCGCTGTATTCGCTTTTCGATTTCAGATCGTGATAGGAAAATAATCGATAAATTGCAGGACGAAAAGATGAAAAATCGTTATCTGATAATAGGTCATATTATTTGCTAGCTTAATTATTCTTTAAGAAAGTAAACGGGGTGGCTGGGTAAGTGTGACTATCTAATTGCGTGACTTTTAGTTCTGTTAGTTTTTTATAGTAAGGCTTGATACTAATTGGTGTTACGACATTTTTTTAGATATGAGGTGATATTAAAAAGTACACTTGCAGAGTATCTTGGAAGTGTTCACACAGGATACAGTAAAATATTGTTTACTGAAGATTTTAGAATTTATTTGATATGCTTCAAGAGGAGGAATAAAATTAAATGTGAAATCTAAACCAATTATCTGATATTTATTTTACATCGTTATCTCTGCCTAGTATTAAACGTTACATAGTTAATGTATTAAATATTGATCTATTTTATTATAAATTATTACTCTGCGCTTTACGTTCTCTAATCAAGAAACTTCCAACTTGATATCATGTCATCTCTTAAAAATCTCAAACCGCTCTCGACTTCCAGTAGTCACATCCTTTCTGTGAAACGATACCGACATTACTTTGTAACTATTTTATTGCTATCTTCCCTAATTAAAAAAAGCACTGTCGCCTAAGTGGATCTCGTCGACTTTGCTATTTATTTTACCGCCATTTGTATTCAATTAATTACCTGAATGCACGATAGTGCTATTTTATACCGCACAAATCTCTAGCAATTACGTAAAGTAATAGTCATTGCTTACACTGATCACGTACCCTATCTAAGAGTAAAAAGTCTGAACAGCTAGAAAACGAAGAAAATCGTCAAGTAAACATAATATTTTAGACCCAAACGCTCTTCGAAATCTAAAGTGGAGAGTGTTTGTAAATGGTTTAGATTGAAATCAATACAAACGACCTGAGGCTGTTTTTCTTATCTTAACAAAAATAATTCATGCACGCCAAGATGTTGCTTGGAGAATGTGAGCAATTTAACTGGATCAACAAGCACCAGAACGGAAATCAATACCATGGGCAGGTTTTTCATGGACAGTTTCACATACTTGTGAAACAATTCAGAATTGTTAAAATTTATTCAGTGCATGACAGTGTCATGTGTGTGTACGTAAGATCACTGATGAGTACTCGATCACTGAATGGGTCTCCGCCTTTTAGATGTCCCTAGAGCACCTTTGGGCACTTTTGACAATTTTTCTGGGGATTTTGGCCCGTATTGAGAAAGTTTGATTCTTTGGCAATATTTCGTATCTGGTATATTTTGACCTGGACATTTGTATACGAGTGCCTGATCAGTTTGAGGCTTTATAGTAATTTGACTTAAGCCACTTATTGACTTTCCGAAAGTGGAAACGTTAGATTCTGGTAATGTAGAAATTTTAAAATTCAAGTATTTGAAAATTTGAGAATTAGAAAGCTTAATTTAGGATTCTGAGAAATGGGGAATTTGAGAACATGACAGATTAGGAATCAATGGCTTTATGAATATTGGGACTTAAATATGATGACAATGTAACAATATAGAAAGATGAACAAATTTCTAAATTTGAGAGTTTGGAAATGTCAGAATTGAAAATCTGTAAATTTAATAATACAGAAACTATAATACTTTCTGAAATGGAAAACTTGAGAACTCAGAAAAATAAGAATGCAACAATTTACAAATTTAAAAATTTTAGAATTTAAGAGAAATATCTGTCATAAATATAAAAATTCCGAAATTTAGTGATTAACAAATTCAAAATATTATCTGACAATTGCAGTTGATCTGAAATTGCAATTTTCTAGTATAAAGCCAATCGAAAATGAAAAACAAATAGTGGGAGGCTCCTGTCGTTGCACCGGTGTTTGTTCGAAGTCTGTGTTTGACGCGAGTGTACGTGTGACACGCTACAGGAACAACATCTATCTCCCTCCACTTTCAACACCCGTTACAACCGAGACATTAGATCGTACCTTAGACACGGCGATTGGCTCCCGTCGGACGCGAAGAGGTTGGGCTCAGGTGGGCCATCAGGTTCGCAGGGGGGATCCAAGATGCGATTGGCAGCAGGGAAAGCAACGAAAGAAGGGAGTATGCTACCTTGGAAGCCGTACTACGATCGTTCTATTGCATCGGAGAGTTCAACGAAAGAGAAGGATTGCTATTATGCCGTGCAACATGTTTGAATCAGAGGAAATCTTGCTGGGAGATAAGTGGGACAATAGGAAACGCAAAGAGTCGACTTCTATTTACCCTTAGTACACTTTGGGGTTACTTATGCAACATAGTATGTTACATTTCTTATACTTCATTCTTATGACTGTAATGTTGTATTAAAAATTGTAATACTTTTGATACATATAACATTAAAATTAAGTTGTAAAACTAATGAGTCACTTGTAAAATTAAAATATATTACGATACTTGTAATACTTTTGTATTACATTATTTTGTTTGTGACACGTAATTGATTTTTATTAGCATACATGGATTTTAGAAGATTCTGGGTAACTGACAAGAATACAATATTATGAATTCCATAAGTAATTTTTTGTTTAAGGAAAAATTTTGTACATAAATAACTAAATTTTTCTCCGAAACTTAGTATAATAATCATTAGCACTAAAGTTTATAAGATTTATCACTCATCATTTATAAACTATTAATTACATTTACAAAAGTGGGTAATATTCAAAAGAAAACCTGATAAAATAAATGTCCACACAAATATTTTGTATATTCTGTTTAAAAACGTGTGTAAAACTATATTTTGAAATTTGTGTGAATATATACGGCGTATCTCTTTTAAAATTATTCTCACACCTAGAAAACAATGACCTTGAAACAACATTTATAACGGCCTTGAAACAATTTTTTCTGTCGGTGCTTTTATGTTCTGACACCACATAAGTTTTTTTCAGTTACTCCCGACTACTACTGAAAACAATAGTAAAAGAATTTAGATGTTTGCCTTAAATGAAGCACCCTGTGCATATAGGATGAGTCAATACAAACTAATACCAAAAATAACATGTTATTAGTTGCATCAAAAAAATTTGAAGCAGAGTATATTAGAGAAATTCTAAACAACATTTTAGAAGATTTAAGTAAACAGAACTAAATTTTCCTATATCATATTTCATACGATATAATGTTATAAAGTCTTGCAGTTCAAATTAACCCTCCTATAACACGATTTATGCATCTCGTGTAATGAGAAACTCATGTTATATGAGAATTTCAAATTTTTAGAAACTCGTGTTATATAAATGTGATTATTATTATTGTTCATGAATTGTATTATAAGAGGTTTATCATAATTTCTGTAAAATAATGCAGCGCTAATAAAACTGTAAACATTTGAATATTAAAATAATGTCAATATTGAATCTTGAACAGTTTGGACTTAATAACCCTAGTTAGAATCATGTTATAGAAGGCTTGACTGTTCTTCCCAAACTATATCGCGTTTCAAAAAAGGTTTCATATTAAACTTACCCTCACTTAAGGCTAAAATTCTGTGGTAGTTATAAACTTTCTTTACGAGGATGTGTTTCCCAGATTTCTAGGTGTGATAAAATCAGTGAAGTCACATCTCCTTAAGTAAAATTATACTATACTCTGTCGAAAATAGAGGTCACCTTCAAATTGTGGAAGTACAGTCAAAGATTTGAGGACTTGTGGATTTGAAAATTTGGATATTTGACAATTTTGCGATATAGCGGCTGGACTATAGCAATTCAGGGACTTGAGGTTTAAAACCTCTAAGAACTTAATATTGGAGACTCAGAAGTTTAGAGACATAGATATTTGGAGATTTAGGAAAATTGGCATCTAGACATTTTGGGTCTAGAAATTGACAAGAGTTGGGACTTAAAAATTTGAAGATCCAAGAGATAATGGAATGTGGTGACTATAAGATGTGAATATCTATGAATATGAGAATATAAGGATTTGAATTCCTTTGCAATCTGAGGACTTAATAATTTGGAGATTTTAAATTTTTTGAATTTTTTTTTGACGTGGGATATTTGAAAACCTGAGAAACTAGAAGAATTATAAATTTAATAATTTAGAATTGAAAAATTGTCACCTTCACATCATATCATCCAAAGTAAGCGTACGCTGCAGCCAAGTGCAACTACCGTTCGATACCATTCCTTTCATCCAAGCCACAATACGAAAATTTCGATATTTATTAAAAACGGTCAATGATCTCGCCCTGGACTCTCGAATCATTTGAAAGAACAGTACAATCGTTCGAAGTTGGGCTGTTGCTCGCACTGCGTAAATGGACCTCTGGCCGAATTCCCGCGTCCAGTTCGGTCCCCTGACCACAGCCAACTCGGCGATCGAAGAAAAGAAGAGATTCGCCGGCAAGCACAAGGGGGCAACACATTCGAAAGGGGGGCAATCTCGTCGAGCGAGGTGGGGAGGGGGTTGCGAGAGTAGCAGCTATCTCGCAAGGAGGGCGGGGAAGGCAGAGGAGAGAGCCAGAAGAGGGGATCGAGGGGCAACGCGAGGAGCGAGCAACCACGCACGGCATCCTTCCTTCGGAGCCAAGTGAAGCGGCCGAACTGGTCCTGAAACACGGTGCAGTGCTCGAGCGGATTGTGGCGTGTCGGGTCCCCGGTTC